AGGAGGAGGAGGAGGAGGAGGAGGAGGAGGAGGAGGAGAATACGAGGCTGTTTTCTCGGCGATCCATCGCCGACGCCTGAACTGGATCCCTGTTCTCCAGATGCAGACGTACCATTCCATTGCCGAAGTGTTCATCGAGCTTCAGAAAGTGGAGGCTGAGAAGTCGGAGGAGGATCTGAAACAGACGGAAACAGAGTCGGAGACTGAGCTAAACGGCGAGAAGTTAACGGAAACTGAGCTAAACGGTGACGTGGAAGACGATTCTCCCAGTAGTGACATCACTGATTCAGGTAAGTAACATTTAAAAACACTTTCCTATTAAACTTTTTAAAATCGTTTGAAAGTTACTGTTTTTTCCGTTTAATTTTCACGGGTCCAGAATTTATACATAAATACAGTCACGAGTTTTTTTTCTTCTTAAGCTTGATCTGAATCTGATTGTTTGTTCCCTCTTTAGTTATTTTCGTGTATTTATTTGTTTAGTATATTCGTTTAAGTTTGGTCATTTGATTCTCTATACACAGCAAACTTGTTATGTGGTTGGTGACGAGAAAAAGTAACTCCAACAAAATTATTTAGATATGTTACAAAGGTATTTTTAAAAATAAAATAAATTATAGTCCTCGTTTAAGAAAAAAAAAATATAATTGTATTTGATTGATTAAGAAACAAAATATTTCTTAGATTAATTCAAGTTTCAAGATTTAGCCCTCCACTGGATCCGACATGCATTCTAAACTAATTTGTGTATCTTAAAGTATTTAAAATTAATATGTGAGGTTTTATTGCATCAGTTTAGTATGAATATGGTCTTAGAAATATTTTCACCAGATTCCGCGTAAATAAATAAATTTTTCGTCTAGTCTACACCAAACACTTATTATTTTTTTTTGTAAAAAGTCCAAACACTTATTATTACCATATTTAAAAATACTTAAATCAATTTTGAATAGAAAATACTCAAATTTAAGACTATTTTTCTTTCTTTAAAAAGGTTAAAATACGTAGTCAAATAGTTAAAAAATTTAACGTGTAACGCATTTACAAGAGAACTGATAGTTTATTAAAAAAATAGCGTATTTTTTTTGAGCAAAAAATTTGTCGTATATTAAGGTTTTGTAACGTAGAGACTGGACATACTATTTTTTCCTTGTACGTATTTTTTTAAAATTTTTGTTACTATTACCACAATCAATACCTTAGCATTAACACAAACTTTGATGAGAATCGTACAAAAGGACGAATGTACTGTTGTAAAGCCTTTCTGAATCAACAACGTAAGACCTGAAAACGTAGTCGTTTGTTTAAAAGATTAGGATTTCCATTTCTCAATGTAAGTGGCCTGTGTGCGGTATAGTAGCAACACTCTTTGTTCTGGTCTGCTGCTGCTGTTAGTTGATACAACTGTGTTGTTACAAAAAAAAATACTTATACAACTGTAAAACGCATCAAAGGTATCAATCTCACATTGTTTCGCGTGCCGTGCGGGTCGTGTGACCATTTTAATTGGTGAGCTCTCAGCAGCCGTTGGATTTAATTGTAATTAGGTCGTCATCAATCTGGTCCCCACGATTTTTCGTGCTGTCCTTCTCCCGAACGTTCGAATACCTCCAGACTCACGAGCTTTATTTTTGTAGTATACTGTTTGTTTACTTTTAGCTTTTAGCTTTTTGTTCACGTCGATTAAAAAGTCAACAGTTCAAAGAGTTTATTTATTTTGAAAGGATCTTTTTCCCAGTCCTGAGAGTTTTTTTTCGTGATGTGTGTTTGTATTTATTCAACTCGTGTTGAAAGTCGTACACGAAGGCATAGACTTTGTAGTCTTGTCTTTCTTCTACATTGGGGTTCAGAGTCAGTTCAGCATTGAAGTCTCTGACTTTTTTTTTTCTTTTTGAAGTCTCTGACTTTCTTTAAGGAAAACTATTAGTTTGAGGTCCACGAGATCATCCATGTATTGGACTAAATAAGAAGTTGTCGATGGTTTTCTCACCAAAGCTAAATGTTGCATAGACTTTCCAGTCTTGTCTTCTTCATTGTATCTCTGACTTTCTCTGATACATTTTACAAGGAAAAATATAAATTCTTAGAATGGTCCATGAGGTGATTCATGCATTGGAAAATAAAGAAATTGTATTTACTTTAGTCTATGGTCTTCTCACTAAGGCCCAAGATCACATTAATTAAATTTGATTAAAAACAGTTTGTAACTAATATTGTGTGAAATAATGAAAACAACTTTAATATTGTATGGGTCTGGCAGGTTCTCATCAGGATGTTCAACAAGCTGCTGCTACGGATACACAGATATGCCAGAGCCATGAAGATTGCGATGCACGGTCACGTGAGATCAAGCCTATCAAAGGTTTCCAAGCCAAGGAGAAAGTGAAAGGCCACACTGTGAGTAGTGAAGTTTGTTTTTTTCTCCTATGATAAGTTCTTTTGATGGAACATTTATATGAAAACTTTTGGACAGATGAATGTTGTGAAAGGACTAAAGCTGTATGAAGAGTTACTAAAAGAAGACGAGTTATCAAAACTCATAGACCTTGTAACGGAACTCCGAGAAGCTGGCCTAAACGGGAAGCTTTCAAGTGAGAGCTTTATCTTGTTCAACAAACAGATAAAGGGGAACAAGAAAGAGCTGATTCAGCTTGGTGTCCCTATCTTTGGCCATGTTAAGGATGAAAACTCTAACGAGAGCAACGACTCTGGTAAGGAATAATCAATCTGGTATGAAGGACTCAGTCTAAATGGCTTGATTCAAGTGGTTGGCTTGACCGGGAGAGACTTTGTTGGTTTGCAGTTAACATCGAGCCAATTCCACCACTTCTTGAGAGTGTCATTGATCACTTTGTCACATGTAGTCTCATCCCTGAATACAAGAGACCAAATGGATGCGTCATCAACTTCTTTGAAGAGGTATATGATATCTCCATTCCATGTTTCACAATCTTCTTTCTCCTTTTCTAAAATTCATACATAATACCACAAATTGTCTGCAGGGTGAATACTCACATCCTTTCCTCAAAACACCACATCTAGAACAACCGATGTCCACTCTGTTCCTCTCTGAATCAAAAATGCTATTTGGACGCATTATTTCTAGTGACAGCGAAGCCAACTTCAGAGGACCTTTAACTCTTTCTCTCAAACCAGGGTAAGAAGGAAAACACTTTGTTCGTTGAGTAACAGTTGATTTTCTTTTACTAACATCAATCAAACTGATCTTTATAGGTCTCTCTTAGTGATGAGAGGAAATAGTGCAAACATGGCAACACATGTAATGTGCCCTTCAGAAACCAAAAGAGTAAGCATCACATTCTTTCGTGTACGTCCTGAAATAAACAGTAGTCATTCACATCCCAACAGTTCTCACAACAACGGTGTAATGTTGCAACAACAATCATGCCACTACCCAATTACACCAACTCCATACCTCAATGGCTATTATCATTCAGTGGAAACGATGCCAAAACATGGAGTACTTCGTCCTCCAGTGGTAATGAACGCACCACCACCGGTTCAACCAATGGTACTATCAAGTCCAAATGTGATGGGAACCGGTGGTGGTACCGGCGTTTTCTTACCATGGGCATCAGTTAGCTCAAGAAAACATATGAAGCATTTGCCTCCACGCGCACAGAAGCAGCGATTACTTCCTCTTGCTGCGGCTTCTCCAACTGAAGAATCCACCTCTGAACCTGTGATCAGTGTAGAAGGAGCCTGAGACTAAGCCAAGCCACTTCGATCTGATTCGTGTCTAAGCCAATGCTCTGTTTCTTCAAATTCAGTTTAGGCTAGCTCAGGTTTTATAGTCTTATACATAGAATCAAGTTTGTTAATTCCAAGAGGGATTTGTCTTTTTCTGTTTTGTTTTTCTGTACGATTTACAACGCATTAAACTTTGGTTACAAAAACTCCATAGATCAACAGAGTTCAACAATAACTGCCTATCAAATATGACTTATGATTATGAACACAAAGTATATAGAAGTAACCGGGGGCAGGTGACCCCCTACCTATAAACATGCATCCGCCCCAGTCCATGACATGCATTCGAACTTACAAAATGAGAGAATACATCAAAGTCACCAAGAGATAAATTAACCAAAACAAAATGTGAGAATTCCTAACAACTAGACCATAAATTTTGGCTGTGTTCATGTATATTATCCTTTTTGAAATGGTAACTTTGAATAGTTTTCTCAAACTGTATTATGAAGGATAAACCATAAAGGCAAAGCCAACCAAACAAAAAGGATCTTCTGTTTTTTTTAGCCTATACATTTGAAACTAAACTTACTTGGAATTGATGCGATAGCTCACAAGTCACAACTAATGCACAATACTAGCACTTGACTTAATTGATTTGATATCTCTCAACTGGAAGATGGGTCGGATCTAATTTTTGTATTGAAAAAAACGCTACGGTTCAACCATTGCATGTTTTGTAATCGTATACAAAAGAATGCTGGGCAGCGGAACCAAAAAAAAGTGTTCCAATAAAAAAAAATATACAAAAGAATGCTTATTAATAACCGCTGAATCATTTTAGTTGTTGACGGTTAAGATTCTTTAACTTAAGGGACACGTAACCCTTTTTCACTGAATCCGTAATCCATTTGATACGTGAATAAATTGATTTAAAATAAAACTCTCGTTACAGATTATCGATCATCACGTACGTTCTCTTTCTTTCTCGCTCTTGCCTCTGTCTTTCTTGTTAACTATCAGTTATGAGGGTGTTCGTGGACACTAAGTTTGGCCCAACCTTCACCTTCGATCTTGATCGTCACAGTAAAGTGTTTGATATCAAAAAGAGTATCGAGAACTCTCAAGGTATCCCTGTTTCCATGCAAACGCTTTACTTCGATGGCTTTGAGCTCTCTCTAGATCATTATCAGCTCAAAGCATACCGTATCGTCAATAACTCTCGCCTCCTCCTCGAAGTACGTGATGATCACGTCAACAATCAAATGCAATATCCTTACGCAATTCAAGGGTTCGTCCCTTCCATGGCGACGAGCAACTATTACGATCACATGCCACCGTTCCATGCAAGTGAATCTTTCTTGAATCAAGATTTACGTATGATGCCGCCGAGGAGCAATCAAATTCTTCATCAAACGCAGATATCTCCAGTGCCACTGTCACATGCAAGTGCATATTTCTATAATCAATATCAGCGTACGATGAACCAATTGCCACCGTCACATGCAACTAGTGAAACTTTCTATAATCAAGATCAGCGTGCGATGAACCAAGTGCCACCGTCACATGCAAGTGAAGCTAATTTCTATAATCAAGATCAGCGTACGATGAACCAAGTGCCACCGTCACATGCAAGTGAAGCTAATTTCTATAATCAAGATTGGCTTGTGAGCAACGATGACCAAGTGTTTCATCAACCCGAAGAATCTGTACTGGAGTCATTTTCAATGGACGAGTTTCTTGAAAGAGTTCAAGAGCCTTGGACAGCCCAAGAAACCAGAAAAATGCAAGGTATCTGGCCTGAGACAACGGGAGAAGAAGTCGTCAACGTTCAAGAATCGTCTGGGAGAGCCAACAAGAATCAAGATTTGTTTCAACCGCCGCAGAAGCTGACAGTGACCATGACGCAGTATGATAAACCTGGGGGTAATTTTCTGGTTGATGTGAATGCGAGTGATAATGTTGAAGAGCTGAGGAAACAGCTGGAGAAGTATCAGTTAGATCTGCCTGCAAAAGGGTATTTCTTTATGCACAAAGAGAGAGTGTTGGACGATGGAAAGTCCTTCAGCATGAACCGAGTAGCTAACGGTGATACCATTGAGATTTTGCCCGAACCTGATATCAAGGACTTCTGTACATAGTGAAATGGATCGAACATTTTGGTCTTCGACTCTCTGCAGTCTCTTCTTTCCCTTAGAGCTTTTTTAATTCTTTCTTCATAGTACTTTTGCTTTGTTCAACGTTTGGCATTTTTATAGTGTTCTGCAAATATGCTAAAAGACATGTAACTACTAATATGAGCTGAATGAAGAAAGACTTGTTGTTACTGCTTTTTTTTAATACTTCAAGTTCTGTGTTCGATCGGATGGTCTATGCTAGATAAGATACTTGGCGTCTATGTGTTGTTAGGGGACGCCCTTTTAAACTTCGCTAGACGAACACTTTAGAAGTCTCCTCCTGCAACACCAAATGGCAATAACTGTAGAATAATCATATTGTGGCCAGAAGGTAAAGTGCAGATCATATCAAACAAAACAATGAATACAAGTTAAGATTTTTGGTAAAATCACATGTACAACAGCATAAATTAAACTATGGTTCATGTTAAAAACTAAAAAGCTATCTTTAATCTGATCTTAATCAACAAGGATCTACTTTCTACAGTCTCCTCTATATAGCTTTAAATAGTTTTCTTGAATGTCAAATATCACATATCAAAGCTGTGTTCCAAGCAATTCATCGAGTTTGTACGTCCTCCATATTTTGATAGTCTTTTGATGGAATACGCATGTGCATCAGTTGACCCATTATTAGTCAACTTCAGAAGCTCTCTTTTGACTGTGCTAAAATTATAAAACCCGAAGTAAAATTACAGATATAAGTATTAAGTTGTCTATATACTTGACAAATCAATAACTCTACTGACCATTTTTGTATGATTTACAAACGATGTATACTTAATGTAAATGCAAGTCCATATCATCTTCCTCTCTTCTGTTAGATGAAAGGAGAATTCAAACATTTTCCGGAAGATGAAAACTCAAACTCAAAAAAGTTGCTCTTGTAGTTCAGAGGGAATGTGATTACAACAACTGGGAGTGGACTTCTCAAGTGTAACAATGACTGTTTCACGAGAAAGTGCCTGCGAAGCGGAAGAGTGGGACTCAAGCCATTGCAGAGTATTGGGTTCAGCTTCAGATCCAAAGAAGCCAAGGTATCATACTTCTGAAGAAATCAGAGCGTATGTGCCAGAGAATCCTGTAAATTCTAGGCTTCCACCTGCTGGAGCTGCTAGAACCATCATTGAGGTATTATATGACATCTTTCAATTGTCCCTCGTTGTAGGCTTCTTCAGTATTCGCCATCTTGATTCGGACTCTACTTGCTTTGTTGATATAGGCCTGGTTTTGTGGTATGTTGTTTCTTTTTCCCCCTGTATAGTCATGCATGGAGATAGAGCTGTAATAAGTTACGTATGCAATGCAGCAAGTAATAGTAGGTTTTGATACGATGGAGATGATCAAGGACATGGAGCTGAGTATTGGAATACAGAATCGAATGATTATTATTGAGTAGTGATGCTCTGTTTATATATACAGAGTAGGAGCAATACAAGAAAATGAAGTACCAACAAGAAGTTATTTAAGAAGACTATGCTTCTATGATCATTAATATGTTCTTATTGTGTTGAAAATGTAGGAAGTGAAGCTCATCGGTATAGATTCACTTGGTTTCGACATCAGGATTTGCTCGGGGATGCAAATTGAGACATTAAGTTTTGCATTCTTGACAAGGGTAAGTCCTTAAACTCTGTTTAGTGATCGATGGATGGTAACATAAGATTATCACAAGATCAGGCCTGTGAGTTGACACAACAATTACACTAAAGTTGTTTTTTTCTTGTGAACTCTATTGCAGGCACTTTAATACACAGTGCTGAGGGACAGGTGAGAGAATTATTATTCGCTTCCACACCTTAGAAGCCGCAAAAACAAAAGCAAATGCGTCCAAAGAAATCTTGGTGATCAAGTAAAAACTCATAGAAACAAATTCAACCGCAATATTTTCATATCGACAGATCTTTCCTCAGGTGTCAAATACGTAATAACTCTTGTCAACGATAACGGACCAGTGCGCTCGATAGGAAGTTTTCAATGTTGCTTGTTTGATGTTTTTCAGTTGATCTTGATGACGTATCTTTGTTTGTTGGGCAAGTCTATGTCATTAGGCTTACATTTGGATGCCATTTGTTATAGCTTGGATTGCACGTCAAGTAAAAAATATCAACGCATTAAGATAATTACAGAGAAAGTCAACCACGTTTACTTTTAGGCTTATAAGAGCTCCACATTATTTTCAGATCAAAGTCAGAGAAGAAAGAAACATGGAGAAAGGGAAGAAACTAATGAAGAGGAATCAAACTTTCACTCAAATGGAAGACTGAATCAAATAGAAGGAAAAGGATTTAAAACATGAACTTTATTTATGTTCAACATCGGATCGGAGAAGGATATGATTGATAAACAACTCCATTTTGGCGAGCTGGTCACTTCGGATCGACATCGATAATAACAAAATCAGTAAATGAAACCACATATAACTGGATTTAGGGCGATCTGATTGTTCAACTTCGGATCGGCCAGCTGGTCACTTCACGAACAGCTAGCCGTACGCCGAGCTGAACCAATCCGGTTCGGCTAGCCGTACGGCGAGCTCAACCAATCCAGTTCGGCTCGCCGTACGTCGAGCTGAATGTCCCGAGCCTCGATCTCCCATGTCCTCGATTTAAGGCATACATCCTTCGACTCGATCGTGTACTGAACCACGGTTGAAACGTCTCTTGTTTCATCTCGATTCATCTTATCATTCGAGCTTTTCGATAAAAACCATAGAAGACATGGGAGATCCTGGACTATCGACGCAATTTTGGAGGACGGGGGCTCAGAGACGTCTGGGCTAGCGACGCAAATGTGTGGTGCGTGGTGCAAAGACGTTTGCATTCGACGCAGATTTGGAGGGCGGGGGTACAGAGACATACTGTACTAGCGACGCAATATATGATATATATATATATATATATCCATATATGGAGATTCGGGGTGTGTGGTCTAGCTATGCACTATCAGCGCATTGTTTGTTCTATGTGATGCCTTACGTGTCTTGATTGTTCATGTTAGAGCTAAACTTCCATAGTGGGAGTTCTATATACTCAAGTCAGTGCTTTGCGTGGTTAACATCCCATACCTCACTAAGTGACTCCCCTGTTACTCACCCCTCTTTCTTCCCCCATTTCAGGTGATACTGACGATCAGGAGTGATCATTTCGGACTGGTGCTTTTGGGAGTTTTATTTATCTAGTTTCAGACTTATGTTTTTATCGATATTTTGAGATTTATTATGTTATTGTAACACCCGCATTTTCCAAAATAATAAAATAAATAAAAATGTCTGAAATCTCCATTTATTAAATCGCATAAATCATCTATAAACTCCATAAATCCAAATAACATAATAAATCTCAAAATATCGATAAACGTGTGGTGGGAGAAATGCTATTTGGGTTATTGTGGATAGACTCACTAAATCAGCACATTTTCTAGCGATTAAGAAGACAGACAAAGCTCACCAGTTGGCAGTGATTTACATGACTACATGGAGTTCCTGTTAGTATTGTGTCATATAGGGACACAAAGTTCACATCTGATTTTTGGAGAGCCTTTATGGGATTGTAGTGATACCAATTGGATTGACAAGTGCACCGTTAGCATACGTGAAGCTTATGAATGACCTCTTTCGTGAGCACTTGGATAAGTGTACGATGGTATCTTTGGCGGCACCTCGATGTATTCTTGGAGTAAAGGAGTATGACGAGCATTTGCAGATTGTGTGTCGTTGCACGAGGATCAGGTTATTGATTATTGATGGCGCCAGTTGAGACATACCGAGATCCACTACCCTGCTCATGGTTCAGAGGATCTGCAGTGGTATCAGAGCTGAACCCCGACGAGTGCGGAGTCAGTGAGAGCTCACACTAATAGGGGTAACGATCTTGGGGCGCAACAGAGACGTTGCGTTCTTTGAGAGGGGATGAATTGTAACATCCCGGTTTGTGGTATTTGGAAAAGGCTTAAGAGAATTGATTTGGCTAGCTATGTCACCAAAGTGCACTTACCTTTTCGGGAGCACATCCAGAGAGAATTCCAGAGTTAAACGTGTTTAAGCTGGAGTAGTCAAAGGACTGGTGACCTATCGGAAAGTGATTTGCGATACCGTGTAAGTGAGGCCAAAGCACGGGGAAAAGTCAGGTGGTGATTGCAGGGTCAGTAAACATGACTCTAGAGCCTTGGAAAATTAACAGACCGACCGTTGGAACTGGATAGACCCACGGACCGAGTGAGCAGGCGTGGGTGGCCCATTAGCTATGGGCGGTCGGGGCGTTACAACTTTAAAGACCCAAGATTTTTTTTTTTTTATATATATATATAATTTCAGTTTTTTTGTTTATGATCTTTTTAATTATGATTTAAAAAATAAAAATTAACACTAAACATTCTACACTCTTTTACAATTTTTGGTTTAAGATTTTAAAAAGAATAATTACTATCTAATATTTTTTAAAATTACCTTTTCTTTATGATTTAGTCAATGAAAATTAATATTAACACATGTCACAATCTTAGATATATAACTATCATGTGTCGCGATCGTGTTAATTAAAACTTTGAAAACAAAATCTAAAATCTGTTTCATTTCTTCTCAATTGATAAAAAAATATAGAAACTTATCTTTCAATTTGATAAATTGAATCAATAAATATACATTCAAAAATTGATCTTACAGAAAGAATAATATTAGTGTGGATAATAATACAATATATTTGAATTTATTTTGTCAACAACGTATTTTTTTTTCTTTTTGAATGGTCTTTTATCTTATTATGATTAATTCATGTTTAATGTTATACTATATAAAATAGAAAATAAATTTAATTTAACGTGTGAGTTCAGAGGCGAAAAATTACTTCACAAATATATATATATATATATATATATATATATATATAATTATGTTATATTATTATATTCTTTTAATTAGAAAATAATTACGTATTATAAATTTTTCAATTTTCTCTTTTCAATTA